AAAAAAAAAGTAATAAGAAGAGTGCTTTTTTGTTTCTTTCTTTCTTTTTTATTTGTTTTTAATCAACTGTAATTAACAGGAAAGAAAGGACTTCCCTGCTCCATAATGCTAGAGATTCTTACCTGAGCCATGCAACATAGCTCTTGCTACTGTTCTACAGAAGAACTAACACTTTGTTACAGTGCAGACACATGCTGAAGTCTGCACATGCCTTATGAACAGCATTACTCATTTCAAAGTAAAACTTTCCTTAGTCACTTCCGTGCTGTTAACCCTAATTTTACTGCACAGTTCCAACAAGAAAGCTAAATGAGAATAGTTGTACATTAAATGGTAAGCAAAGGTTTCAAGAATTTTAAGCATTCCTGCACCACCTATGGGCTTATCTATCTAAGCATATGTGTTTCAGCTGATAAATCAGCCAAAATAGTAGTTTAAGTTATACCCATAGTCTCAAATGCTTGAATTCATTCCTATCTTCTCCCTTTAAGTTTCAAGAAAATCTTCAGGAATAGTCAGCACGAATTCACCAAAGGCAAATCATGCTTAACCAGCTCGCTCAGCTTCTTTGATAAAATCAGCAGCCTGGTGGAATAGGGGGTTGTATTTTATACTTGGACTTCAGCAGGACTTTTGATGCTGTCCCCCACAGCATCTCCACAGAGAAGCTGTTGAAATGTGGGCTGAACATGCAGCCAGAGAGGCGCATCAAAAACTGGCTGAACAGCTGGACTTGAGAGGGTAGCAATCAGTGGTGTAAAGCATAGCTGGAGTCATGCAGGAAGGGAGGAACAACCCCAGGCACCAGGGCTTGTTGGGGGCCACCCAGACAGAATGACACTCTGCAGAAAAAGGCCCGGGGTTCAAAAGAACTAGCAGTGCATCTTTGCCACTAAGAGGGTTACTGGTATCCTGGGCTGCATTAGCCTAACTGCTGCCAGCAGGTTGAGAGACATGATCCTTTGTGCTCTACTCAGCACTGGTGAGGCCACAACTGAAGTGCTGCATCCAATTCTGTGCTCCTTATTACAAGAGATGTGAAATTATCAGAGAGCCCAACAAAGGGCCACAAAAATGAAGGAATTGGAACATGTATCCTACAAGGACCAGCTGAGTGGGGATGCTGGCACTGTTCAGCACAGAGGAGATTCTGAGGGGATTGTACCAATGTCTGTAAAAATCTGAAGAGAGGGTACAAAGATGGCAGATCCAGGCTCTATTCTGTGGTGCCCAGTGCCAGCATAAGAAGCAATGGGCACAAACTGAAACATAAGAGGTAAACATCAGGAAGCACTTCTTTATTGTGCAGGTGATGGAGTAGTAGTTTAGACCATATGACCTCCAGAAGTCCATTCTACCCCTTCCATTCTGTGATGCTGTGATCCCCCAAATACTGCTTTTCCTTACTGAAACAAATACTATCACCATATTTTAAAATAAATTCAGATTAAGAATTATTACCTAAAACCATTTCCTAAACATGTAACTACAGATTTTTTTTTTTCTGAAGAACTTCTCAAAGTTCAAAATCCATCCAAAATATATATTTTTTTTGAGTAAACACCCTTGGTACTATATAATTTTGATTAGTGAATGAGATTTGACTCTATTACAGGTGTTCACATTCTTTCTAGGCTTCCAGGTTCTTCATAACATAAAATATTGATGACTTTCAGTCTGCAGTAGTGCACTAAAAGAACAGATACCATTGGAGGAATTGCATTAAAGTGAATCAGGCAATTGTGAATGAATTGAGACTGTTTACTTTGAAGTCTTCTGTCACCACTCTCTGAGAATGCCTTCAAGTAGCATGTAACATTTCATTTCACAACAAAGATTCACAGACTTTGCTGGTCTTGACTTTGATGATTTCTTGCTTGTCACTGAGGAAATATCATGGTATAGTCAAATAATCTGATGGATGTTGGACACTAACAACAAGAATGGCATTCATTATTTCTTGTTAGCACGAGCAGATCTTAAGGAAGACTACTGTCTTCCTTGGGATTCTCAGTCAGTGGTGAGGCAGAGACAGCTTAGATTTATAAATACAACATCTTCCAGAAATTCCATGTTTGTGTTTCTCTTCTGCATCACAGTGAAAACAAAACAAAACATACGCACATGAAGTGAAATCTGATTTTATCTCACTTTGTTCTAAAAGAACTTTCTCTTATCTTTTTTTTGGTGGTGTTGTTATTTTATATTTAATATTATATTCTTCTAAGACAACGGGAAAACAGGTTTTATAACACAAGGCCAGACTCATGTCTGGTGAAACTTGCTTACAGGTAAAAATAATTTTAATGTAGTTTCAGTTAAGAATTAAGAAAAATTATCTCGGAAATGCTTGGGAAAAGAACATGGTTAAAATATAAATTTGTATAAAACAATTAAAGCCAGGAGTTATATAAGAATAATAAAATAAAATATTTGGTTGAAAGAATGTAAAGGTCAATACAAAGGTAGACATGCCAAATTGCTGTAAAGAATGCAAGTGAATCCCCCAAACCCGAGCTTTCTCCTCACTGACAGGGAAACTTTGCAATCCTCTGTCTTCTGAAGGGACAGGTACCAACTGTCTGAAATCACTGTCCTTTGCAAGAAACCTTCTAAAAAAAAATAATCAGTTCAGACTATAATAATGACTCTAAATCATATTCTTGAGCACATCAAACTAAAGTATGGAACCTTGCTTATTAGTGCCTTCATAACAAACAGTAATAACTGCTAGGAGCAGGTGCATACCTATTGCTCTCTAGTAGAGATCTGTATTTTTTAGACAGTGATATTAATGCACACCAGAATTGAAAGGTTTCTTCTTTGTGTTAACAAGCATTTTCACTTTACAGCAAAATTTGCACTTACCACTAAGCACTTATGTTAGCTAAGTACATCCAGAACATTTATTTTCAGATTGCCAGTAGATATGACAAAGAGTCTGAGACAGCCTGATACGCACTGTTAGTGATGGCCTTTCTGATACCAAGTGCTAAACAACCGATACCCAATCTCCTTATAATTAAACAGTTTTGAAGGGCAGGAAGTTTTTTCTATAAATGTATACTGTGACTTCTGTAATTGGCAGGTTTTAGTTTGGAGCAGCCTGGGAAGAAAAAAAGTACGGAAGTTTCTTTTGTTTAAGACTCATTATATCAAAGCAAAGAAGAATTTTACCAGTTTTAGTAAGGTTTACCTGCTTTTTTATTCCATAGTCATCACATGCTTCAGCTTTCATTTTTTCAATCTTCTCCTCTTGTTGTTTTGCTTCTTTTTCATACATAACCTTTTCTTTTGCCAATCTGCAATTACACCAAGTGACTGTGTCAGTCTGATTCTATCACAGCAAAAAGTTATACTATTGACAGCAATATCCCTGTTCCCCCCAAAAGCTGCAGCCATGTAACGTAATACATGACCTTATATGACAAAAAAGATTCTTAATCACTTTAAAGAAGTGCATCTAGGAAATGCTGAATTTAACTATAACATATAATAATTATTATACAAATTATTTAAATAAAAATATTTTTAAATATTTTTGAGGGCTTATCTATATATGTAGATCACTCCAAAAGTAAGCTTCCTATTTGTTTCCACAGAAACACAGCTACCAAGAGCACAATAGCACTATTTGATTGAGCAAACTCAGCTACAGAACACTATTTTCAATAGTCACTACCATTTGCTATGCATTTTCATCAGTGATGAGCAAGAGCCTGCACAACGCACTCACAGAAATGTGCACCACTGGGCTCTTACTTGGGAGCAGGACGCTTTTTGCATGAGCTTATATTCAAGAGTAAGCTATGTTTTCTGCCCTTCCTATATTGCCAACAGAGATGAATACAACATACAGCTAAAAATACATACAGCAAATTTCCATTTTGCTTTGTCAGTAAAGTGTGATGTTATTAAGCAAAAGCAAACTATGAATACCACTTACACTGGCCAATGTAAAAACACGTGCAAGTCTTAAATGTGGATAAGCCTCCAATGAAACTGGTGTCTTCAAAAATTAACTTTGAGAACAACAGCTGAAGACTGATAGACTACCTTGAAATTCAGTTTTGGATTTAAAGTGAGCGTTTTTCACAGGCTCAAGCAACTACAGCAAATGATGAACAACAACAGAAAAAAATACTGAAGGTCGAAAGGGAAGATTAAGGTCTAAACTGCAGTAATAGTAACATAGTAATTCCATTATCAAGCTTAATTATTTGTTGTTATTGCAATTTTACTCTTACATCTCCCACTTTGTTACATGTGTTCATTAGGTATATATTGGATTATATAATTCTAGAATTCACACCAAAACATCTTTCAGGATTGGGAGAACAACAAAGTAATGACCAGCTAATTCAAAACCAAAATGAACACTGGGATGCTGGTACAAACCTGAAAGCACAGCAATGAAAATCTTTTGCCAAACAAGAGCAATCATCAGATCAGCCCATAGTAGATAAGACTGTTTAAGAAGGACTTAATAGCCAAAAGAACATAATCAGATCCAGGAAGCAAAGAATGTATTATACAAATGAAAAGAGAATAAATAAAGGTCTTGTAGAGAGCTTCATGGTCACGTTAGCACATCAGAGCAAATTAATTCCTAATTTGTCACAGTTAAGTGCTCCACTAGAAGTGCCACTGAGGACAGTCAGTTCAGAATGGTACTGGCAGGATAAGAACCCTTTGTGAACTGAAACCACCACAGTCTTGATAGTATAGTATAGCAATAACCCTCCCTGATTTTTTCATAATCAAAAATTGTTCTGCCAAAATAGTTTTATGCTGTTGTTCCAAAAGTTATTTAAGTTGGGCTGTGGCAACATGCCTCTGACCGAGATTAAACACCTGTGCAATCACCCAGAGGGGTCTTGAAGGCTTATACAGAACCTTTAGCAATGTGTAGTGTGTGTAATGTAGGCACTGTCTATGCCAGCTTCTAGAAGTCAGCCAAGTACTAGCTTTGAAAAGAACTACTGGGGAAAGATAACACCTAATTACCAATAATAAAGACACTAAATCAGTGACTGTAATTCTCACTACTGGAACGAGTTCCAATATTAGCATCAGTAAATATTGATTTAATAGAGGATGAGTTAATTGTTTGATCAAGGTTGCTTGATTTAATTCAAGGCAGTATTGTTTGCTTTGCTATTTTTAGATTCCAGAAAAAAGTTAGTCTCGATCAACATCTGAGATTTTTTTGAATGACATCAGCAAATTCTCTTGAGTAGGAGAGGGGTGAAGAAACAATTAAACGCAGGCTTTATGTTGATCCTGGTAGTAAGATGTATGTATGTATTACTGAGACTAAAAACAATTTGCATCACTAAGCGTAGTGTTTTGAATATTTTTTTAACCTAAAAGGCAAAGTGTTAGTTAAGTTTTCGCTTCATGTTTTTCACACACACATCTCCCTCTCTATATATTAACTTCTCAGCTTGACAGCTACTCAAGGTTGCTGACTACCAAAAGGGAAAGGACTGAATATTCTGTTTCAGTTTAGAACTAAATTTAACTTAATTTTTTCGCCCACCCTTTTCTGGTCTGGGTACTTACAAATCAGATCTGTATTTATGTATCTACTCCTATTTCTGCAGTAACTGTACATTTCAGAAGCAGAACTTGAAACAACCCTGCTTCCAAAACATTAAATCTAAAATATTATACTATTTTCTGCATCAGATTTTCTATATTCTCCACTGCAATTTGTTGAGTAATCAGAATTGTCCAATTTAACTTTCCATTCACCATGCATGCAATTGAAGGACTAATTTCAATACTATTTTAAAATTTCTTGTTCTAAAACACTTTCCTGCAGTGGATCCTTAGTCTAAATGGCATGAAGAAATTTCTACTGAATACGTAACAACAGAAGAAGATAAATAAAATCAATAGCTTTCTTTCAAAAGGTAAATGAAATTTTACAGTGGAGTTAATACTATCCCTTAAAAACTTGTTCCTTGAAAATTTCAGGAAAATTCTGCACAGAAATACCAACACGATACTTCCTGTTGTTGTTTTCCTGATGTTTTGTTTTCCCAAGTATTAAAATGGATACTAATCCAGAATCTTTATATCTGGAATAATTACACAGGAAAACAGAGTAAGAGCAGCTCAGTAGGTGTTGGAAAAACCCAGATTATAACTCACTGGATTTCAAGAACACAGATAATTTACAGAAGATTAAAAGCCCTGCAACCATGAAACTAACTACAGATGTAACTTCAGCAGATGTTATGCAATGTCCTAAGAAATATAAGTTTCAGCATGCTATCAAAAAATGTATTTTAACTGCCTAACTCCAAAAATAATAGCAGGAAACAATGGAGATTACTTCTTATCGTACTTATACTTATCATACACAATAAGCTTTCACTCATGGAATGCAATTCCTTGAAGTATCATTATGTTTTCAAACAATTCTGTCAACTAGTACCCATTTGAAAACCCACGGTAAGCCTCATTTCAGTTACACAATACCTCACATACTATAATAGCTCTGTAAATATACCAAACATTTATCACCAAAAGGACCTATATATTGTAAGGCACATTGTTCAGTACTGTCAGCTCTAACCAGTTTGCTCAAATCTGATTGCAAAAGTTAGGAATCTAAATCTAGATTCTAGGATGTGTTCTTTTCCATTTCTTCTTTAAAGTAAAAAAATAAAAAACAGAAAAAAAAATCCTATTTTTCAGTAATATTGTATAAACAGAATTTGGATAGGCACCAATATGACAGAAGGGTACACAACACCCATAAAATATTTACATTGTCCACAAAAAGAAATTCTCATCCTTCACACACTCCAAATAAAACACCTCATTGTATGTTACAGTACACATCCTCTCAATGGCCTTAAAATGCTGTTGTATTTTGCAAATTCTTCTGAAGTATGATGATAGCAGTTGGTATGCATTCAACAAGTGGAAATGAAATCACTAGATACGTTGTGTAACAGAACCTTAACTAAAACAAGAGTAATTTAAAATGTGAACAAAATGTATGGGAGAAGTAAGAATATCGATTACTAAGGAATTTAACCTTTCAGAGTTTTGTTTACATTTATCTACATTACAATTAAGCAATAATGGTACATCCACATGATTAGTGGTTATTATGTATTATCAGAATAATTGAGGTAATTCTGGTATACAACAAGCATAGACTGAATGTTTAATTCAGAAGTTTGCCTAAAAATATCCATAAAATGTATTATAGAGCAGAGGTACCACAATGATCAGCACCGAACTGACCCTGACGATAACTACAGGTTTGGTTCGACACTTTTCAAAAAATTCACTGCTGTCTGCCCTCAAACTCAAAAAGGGAAGAAATGACATCCATTCTTTACAATGAATCACTTGGATAGACCTGGACAGAGAGACGTATTTTATACAGATGGAAACTGAAATAAGACTTCATGTGATTGAGAACAAGGTTACTGTTAGCTTTTTACCTTGAAATATTTCATAGAAGCCTGACACTGTGTGTGTACATTTCCTGAATTTCTGGTGGAGATTTTCACTTCGCGTGTTGGTCAACTGCAGAAGTCAGGACTGATGACATACTCGTTTACTGCATTCAAAGTTTGTACAGAACATATAAAGCCTTGCCTGAGTAATGGATGGAAGTACCAAAATAAACATTTGTTTTGTTCTTTCACCATGTCCCCAAACCCCTGACCCAAAACCATTTTTAACTGCAAACTGATTTGTCAATGGTACGCTGCGAGTCCAATGTGAGGCATTACCTGAGACTTGGCTCTGCCTTTTCTATTTGTAGAAGGCCGATGTCAAATATGCTCCAATTTCTGTCTCCATGACTGTGACAGCTCTAAACTACAGCCAGTTTTATTTTTATACCAACACTATAAATCCAGCCATTTGCAATCCAGCTGCATGCTCATTAGCTGCGAACCGTAGCGGTTCAGCTCATTTCTGCTCATTCTACTAATCTCCTGTCTTTACTCCATTTATTTGCCACTTTTGCTGCTGCTCCTCCACAAAATACAACACTGCCCCTTCTAAGATTAATTGATCATCAATTTAATCCTAATTTGGACCAAGTCAGGTGGTAAATGGACCACTTTTGCTTGATTGTTAGTGAAATGTGTGCAAGCACATTGATAAATTTTGATTATTTATCAATTACCACCAAATGAAGTAAATCTATTGAATAAATTCTAGCCTGATTGCTATAATAGAGTTTGAAAATATCGCTATTGATAATGATTCTCGCTAATAGTCTTTTCCGACTGCAGTTGCTGGGTTGTCGGCACGACAACAAAGA